TTGACATAAATGCTTCAACATATTATATTCCGTTTGCTGTAATTTTTTTTTAACTAATGTTGTTTGATATTGAATATTCGATTTTGTTTTTCTACGATCCCAATCAATAGAATGTTGTTGAATTATTTCTTTCGAGACATCTTCCGATAGCCAATCCATGATAGATGTGTTCAAATTGCCAACATAATTCCAATAATCTTCTTCAATTTTCAATTGAAAAAAATGACACCATAAATTAGCAAGTCGTTGAACACATTTTAACAATTGAATACATGCTAAACATTGTTGAATTTGATCATGATAAATGGTAGGAATATTTTTTAAGATTAGCTGTTTAAATGTATCAGGAGACAATCGGTTATAATTGGGTATAAGTTTCGATGACTGTCTCCAATCTTCCTTTGATAGATGATGGACTTTCATCGGTTGTATTGATGTAGAAGATGGAATCATCCTAGTAGTTTGACATTTATTGAATTGATTCTATAAAAAAAGAAGAAAATAAAACAATGTTATCATTTTTTGTTTTATTTCATCGTACCTGATTTTTATTCATTGAAATGTTGATCGTATGACTTGAATTCCATGTAGAAGCATCGTCTTGTCGATTTTTATTGCCTATGTTACGATCCAGAGGCTGTTGCATTTCTATCAGCATTTTTATTCTTTGCTCAGTCAATCCTTTTGCTCGACAGGACTTTCGGAAGCGTTGTAACTTTCGATTACCACAACAGCGTCGTTTCTTCTTTGATTCGTCGTAATTGAGTTTGTGAAAGTAATTCATCCCAATGAGGTTGATGATCGATATTATTGGTATTTATGCTATCTAGAACAGAAATAACAATGTATTATTTATATTTATTGAAGATGTTATGAGAAGGGTTCAGTGTTCAAAAATTTCATGTAATATTCTATATTTTTGTTTACAATATTTAATTATTTTTTTATTTCTTTTCGGATATGGAATATTTCGACAAGGTATATGAAGTTGACGATCGTATATAAAAGGCTTATCAAATAATCCATTATTGAATTGGCTTAATATTTCAATTCCATGTTCACCAGCTAATAGACATAATCCCGTGAGATATTTCCAAAATTCACCAATATGTCTTAGATAATCGGAGACCAGTGTTTCTTCAAATTTGATGACTTCAGTATAATTAATATCATTGATATGTAGGCCAGTTAAATATAGAAGATTTGCAGACAGTGATCGTTCATAGGGCCATTCATTCAGTCGATTTTTCTTACATCTTTTACATTGACATGTATCATCATCCTTACTAAAAGAAATTACAAATAATTTTAAATTGGAAAGGTAAAATCAAGGATCTATTACCAGTATCTAACTCCTTGGAATGGTATTTCTTTGCCATTTTTGTCATATGGATGCAACATCCAAACCATAAATTCTACTGTAGCAGGAAAAATACCGATAAAATCATCAGTTTCATTGTTCTTGGATATTATTTCCGTCATAATTTTATGAAAAAAGTTTATCTAAAACGAAGAGACAAACACATAATCTATGATTAACTTGAATGAATAGCACTACA